TTATTGTCTATAGCTTAGTGGGTTATGTACATTGAACATTATACCCATTTATATGCAACACAGCACTCGCAAAACTAATTATAATAAACGTAACAATAATAGCAGGTAGTTAACGTCCAACAAATCTTTATGAAAATAAGAAAACATTTATTTATCAATAATCAACACAAATTTTGCGCGAAATGTGTGGGTGGCGCACTTTTTAATTATGTGAGTTCAAATGTTATGCGATCGTTTATGGTGCCCGCATATAGAATGTCAGAAATGAAATATTCTTATGTGATAATGCTAATAATAAGTGGATATCAGAGCTTGAAATTAATTAACTTTGTGGGGTTATGGAGTATTCCATCTTTCAATAATTTTTAGTTTTAATATAATAACGCTAATTATAAGTTTAAAAGCCGCTGGAATAACTTCTCACAAATTTATAGTTTTTTGGAAACATTTACACCAAAGTCAACTGAAAAATTTTTTTTAACTCTTATTGTCCGGTGAACTCCTTTTTTTGTATTTCATCGAAAATATACCACCAAATTAAAGAAAATTGTACAATAAATCGGGATTTTAAAAAGATCTGCGCCATCTATCGCATTTTCGTAATATCAATCGGACTGTTTTCCGAGTTTCGGGAGAAATATATATTATATAAAGGGATTAATTTATTTCTTATACAAAAACTATTGAATATTATCAATTATAATTATTAAATTCAAGATTATTTTATAAAACAGAGATAGCGTTTTAAAAAATTTGCAAAATTTTCAAGATACCAGCGTCATCTGCTGGCAATGTTGAAATGGCCAAGGTTTAAAAAAGTTTTCTACCTTTGAAATGAAAATTTTTTCAAATAAAGAAAAGCTTTTCTTTATATTAACTTTACTCAAAACTTATTCTGAGCGAAACTAATATTCTTGCAACACCTAAAATTTCGTACATATAATTTATACTTTAAAATAATATATTATCTTTTCTCTATTTTCAGGTAAGTTTTTTAATGCGACAAACAGTGGTATGTAAAAAATCACAATTAATGTTATTTATATTAATAAGTATTTGTGAAATGAGGTAAAATATTATACCAACACAATTAAACATTCTTCTGAACACTATCTGTTTAAAAAGTACTCAGGCCATTAACGGGAAGTAGTGCTTGAATCACTAAACATATATTTATGCTTATAATAATGAAAATTATAATAATACTAATAATAATAATAATAATAATAATAATATAAATATGTATGCATATGCATATAGGTGTGTGTATATAAAATTATACGAGTACACAGAGCCATTAAGTTATTGGAAAGCTAAAAATATTCTTTTTTATCAAAAGCAATCAACTTAAAATTATAATTCGTGTTTATCACAAGATATGCCAAATTTACCTAAGTTTCTACAAAATCATTAAGGTTCTTTGTTATCTTATCAAAAAAGAATTATAAAATAACAAGGCGCATTTTATAATATCAAGATAAGTAATATCGCTTAAGGGGTTTCAGAACGCTTTGCAAACTGTTATAATTGAATAAATACATAAACCTTCCAGACATATAAATAGCAATACATATCAAAACACACATACATATATGTATGTAAAGATATGTACATATGTGCACATATTTATGACATAAGCATAATGGCCTCACGCGGCGTATACGTTACCTGCAATTATTGGCTAAACAAATAACGCCTGGGGCGAAGTCGCTTGAGTTGAGTAATCAAATGTTAATATGAAATTAAACTGTTTGTTGATTTATTTTGTGTTTTGCTTTATTATAGACACATATGCATATATACAAGTGTAGTGTGTTTGTTATGTGCGAGCAAACGAGCTTTAATTAGAATGAAAAGCCTATTGAGTTTTTATTGCGCAATTTTAGTTAGCTTAAAATAGTAATTTTAGTAAGGTGGTTTATTAAATATAATTAAGATTATGAAATTTAGGAATAATGAGTATTTTGAATTTATAAAAATAAATAAAAATCGTGCAACAAAAAATTAAAAAAAAAGATAGTGTGGCAAGTATCGAAGGCGTAACGATAATGAAAGAAAGCATATTTGAAGATTATCAATAGAAAACAAATATTACGCAATACACGTACAGTTATTGTCAGCCATAAAATGAACAAAAAATTATAAAGAAAAATTATTATTGCACAATATTTTCAAAATATGACGCAAGTAGAAATGCTATAGATATACAATACAAAATACTATTACTTTGTGATAGCCTACTTTATTCCTAGTTCTAATTTTTAAAAAGATATATTAAATTTGTCACGAAGTTTGTAACACCAGAAGTAGAAAAGATCGGATACCCTATAAAATGTATTTATATGTATACATATAAAGCGTGATGAGCTGAGTCGATTTAGCCATGCCCGTCTTTCTGTAAATACGCGAGTTAGACCCTCCGTTTTTTAGGTATCGATCTGAAATTTTGCACAAGTACTTTTCTCCTCAAGAAGCTGATCATTTGTTGGAATCGCCAATATCGGATCACTATAGCATATAGCTGCCATACAAATTGGTCAATCAAAATCAAGTCCTTGTATGGAAAACTGTTTAATTTGCATGGATTATTATGCAAGGCATCAGTACAATATCCGAACAAATTGTTCAGATCGGACTACTATAACATGTAGCTGCCGTACGAACTAAACTATGAAAACCAAGATAAAGATATTTTTATATCCTTTTATGCTAGAAGTAATGCACCTGTGAAGGGTATTAGAGCTTCGGTGCAGCTGAAGTTAACGTTTTTTTTTTGAATTTTTTTTAAAGATACTAGGTAAGATGTAAAAAATGCAACCCTACCTGCATAAAAAATAGCTTTTTCATATTTTTCTAACAAGAATTTTGTAATTGTATCTGACAACCACGAGTGTATTGTAGCAGCTTTAAAAAGAGTGTGTAAAGTGTTGGTGTAAAAATGAAACTTGTTGTAAATTCTTTCTGCTTGTACAATCCTTTATATGCCTTCGTATTTTTGTATATTTAATTTTAAGTTTAATATGTTTTTATTTGTTAGAGATAGTTTGCGAGTCAAGTTTACTGGTTCATGGTCAACAGGGACCAGGGTTAGAGTTACAGGGTCAATCTAGTCAGATTTTATAGTTAAAAAGAACTTTAATCTTCAATTAGATTTTTGTTTACCGACTTGTATACGTAATCATATTCATTTTCTATAAATTTTTTTTTACCATCAAGTTTAAGGATTTCGTTATCGAAATCTAAGTTCCATCATTGAAAATATATGTTCCTTCTAAATACAAATATATATCATACCAGCACACAGACAATATATCACTATGCTAATTTACCTTTTGTTGCCACCCACTTTTCTCCACCTCACACTACAGCCACTTGCTACCTATTGAGCTATCATATTATACAATAACCATGTATATATAATTATACACATATATTTACTTACACTATTGTTGTTATTATTTATAAGCTTTCGTTACAAAGCAAATGCAATACAGCACATATATACACACACTGGCATTCAAGCGAGGTGTTGCATCGTCGCCGGCGTTAAATGCGCTAAACGATTTCAACTAGTAAAAATTTCCATTTGCTTGCTCGACGCTTTAATTCAATTTCCTGCCTCGTGCTCAACCGCAGGCGACCTTTACGACCCACTTGCGCTAGCAGCACCGTTAAAGCGCTTTCACTCGTCTATTTACGGCACGAAAATGTGCCAAAAGTAGAAGCTCAGCGCTCAATTTGCTTTGTTGTTGCTGTAACTTGCGGGAAAAGTGAAGAAGAGTTTAATAACAAAGCCCAAGCGTGAAAGGTGCGCTATACCCCTTATTGGGGTGAGAAGCCACTCCTTTGCCTTGACGCATTCACACATGATTGAGGCATGCAAATATTTCAAATTGCGCCTTTTTTGTTTTTGCTTTCTTCGAACGCTTGAAATTCACATTTCTCGATCGCAACTGGCAGTGCATGTTTATGTAAGTAGTTAGCGTCCAACTTGACACACCCTTTGACGTCACTAGTGTTGTGCGCGCGGTTTTCTCGTCACTTGATATGTTTTTTATGCCAGTAATTTAAATTATCTTCGCGAGAATCGCATTCCTCTATGGTAAGTAAATATACTGTATGGGATTTTCTATATCTGAAGTGTGTGAATTCCTCACTTTGAAAGTAAAATGAAAGAGTATGGCAGAATTGCACCAAATGTACTTTGTAAGCTTTATATACCGATTTTGGCATATTATCCTTATTTTCGAATTTTCGTATTTATGCAGTTTTCTGTTCTCTCACCCAAAACTAATTTGCGCTTGTATAGAAAACAACCATATACACAAGTATACGATAGACATTTCTCGTCTTGTATTCGCCAAATTTAAATTCCAGAGTAGTCAACAATTGTACGCAGGTTTTAAGCTCACTGGCAGGTCAATACTACATAATCAGGGTTCTTGGTCACAGGAACATTTTCGGCCATGAAAAAACAGACTTGTTGGATAAGTTAGGATCCTCTATAGACGGATCCTCAAGGAACGATTAAGAAAGGGCTGACAAATAGCTCAAAACAGATGGAAATATATAATCAATTGCAAGATAACGGAACAGTGATGGCGCAAGCATGTCAAGACAAGAAATACGGCTATATAAGACTATAACTATGCATTGGCCATTCAGAGAACACACGCTGTCATAAAACAATTTTTGCCGCAGCTGCAAACTAAAAGTGAATAAGGAAACAGTTTTCCACTTTCTCTGTAAAGTGGTTTACCATGCCAAACTCGTAGTTTTCCTCATAGAAAACTTCAAACACATCAGCTACGAAACCTTAAATGGCTGTCTACAAAAAGCATAACGTATATACGCAACGATGAAAAGAGATAGCAAGAATATAAAGGTCTAACGATGGCGCTAATTGATCGAGGAGAATGAAAAGTGAGCTAAAAAGGGTGATGCTAAGGATAGCAGGAAAGTAATTACCTTAATTCTCTCGTTTTTTAACGTCTACTCACCAATATACACATTGTATGTAGTCATTTTGCAACTGAAATTATTTGAACCACTTTTGTGTTTTCCACAATCGACAGTATTCCAAATTTTTTCTGAGGTTTCGTAAGTTCGAATTATGAGTTTTTTACAATTGAATCCATTCATATAGTATTAGTTTGTCCCATAGATTATTATTTTTAAGTACTGACAGTATAAGGAGCTTTCCCCCCTTAGCGAGATAAAATTTAGTTAATTAATGACGCTTTTGATTGAAAAATTTTCAACTGGCAACTATTAGTAAGCATAAAATTGTCATACATTTGTAAATCTAGTACTGTCTTTATAAATGTTTGGTACCTTTGATTTCATACATAATATTAAAATATAATATACCTATATGACATCTCCTCGAAATATGTATATATTTTTTAATTTTAAAGAATATGTTAACATCAGGATCTAAAAATGTTGATACTCTTTCTTTATTACGTGCGATATTAAACCTAAACAGATCTCTGAAATTTTAGATTTTATTCGGCCAAAGGTTAGTAGTAGTATTTCGGCGATCTAACACTTTTTGGATCGGTAAATAGTAGAAGTAAAGATTCATTCCTTGAAAGAGGTGTCGAAATTTTCGAGCCACATTGCACCAAATATACATGGAGAAAATAATAACTTACAATACGTTGAATAATGAATAATGAGTGCATTTTTGCATTCTTTTCCATATTCGTTCAGAATTTGCCAAATAACTTCTTACTGAGTAATTTTCGCACCCTGCTTTTTTCACTTGGCTATTCACAGCGTTGGTACGTAGAATTTTCCATTAAAATTTTTCAGCATTTATTTCCATATTTTACATATACCATGTGCGAACACATACATATATCTTCCAACATATAATATATAAATTTCATTATTTTCTGAGTTGAAAATTCCTGGCATTGTTGTTTTTGTGGAATTAAATATTTTCACTTCGTATTTTGTGACTCACGCGACAAGTGCACATGTCTTGGCATCAATTTCACCCATTGTTGTTGTTAAGTGTCAACAAGGATGATCGTCTGGCTCAATTCATTTCAATATTGTTGCTATTTTTGCTGTTGGTGATGTTGTTGACAAACTTACGGTTGGTTGTGTGTTCCTTCCCTGAGCGCAGGAATTCACTGCGGCGTCAGCTTAAGCTCATATTTCCTATCAACATCGTCAGTGCGTTGCTTTTTGTGCAGAATCTGGAATTTTAGTTCTAACAGCAAGTGCGTTCAGGAATTCTGTGAGTGTCAAGCTTCTATGAGTGGATGGGAGAGCGGGGAAAGGAGTCGGTATGGAAATGTCATCTGAGATTTCTTTAGGACTGGAGGAGTTGAAGAAGAAGAATTTAGGTATAAAAAAAATTTAATCAAAATCAAGAAATAGCAAATAGTGTCATTTTTTTTTGGAAATTAATAATTATTATTTTTTTAATTTTAATTTCTCTTTATGCAGAGAAAGGTCTCTTCTCTCGATTATTGTCTCAAAATAATATATATCAGTCTCTCATAACATTTTCTCTACCAACTTTGTATTCAATAAACCATTTTACTATTTAATTACCTTTAGCGCTTTGTTTTTGTTTTAAAGGAAATGTAGGTCAATAAATCACTTCACAAAATATGCAAATTATGAAATTCTTAGATAATTGAATAAATAGTAATTTTTATAATTATTTGCTGTTTAAAGCATATTTTCTCATGTAATATTTAAATGACTATTGTTATTTCTTGCCGATCTAGAAGAACAAAAAATTCAACGAAAACAAGTACGGCAGGGCCTGCTGGAAGTTGAACACTAATAAATAGTAAACCAGCATATAAAAAGTGAGGTTAGTTTTGATTTTGATAAATTTAATATTTTTATCGAAAAATAAATTTTATAATTATTAACTGTGCCCACACTCAAGAAAAAATTTAAGATCGTTACCCATACGATCTGATCAAATTTGATCCGAACTGCGAAAAATTTTATGTATTCTTAAAAGTGAGCTCTTGAGTTAATACTAGCATGCCAACGCTGAATCCAATTTTCCATAGACAAGTCTTAGCTGTGAGAACCTTTAGTGCCTTCAGCGAATTTAAAATTTTTCGATTTCGACTAATTTTTCAAGCGTCATTCGTTAGATGGTTTAACAGTTCGATTTTCAAGAACAGTTTCTTTAAATATTTCGATGCTATCGTCATTAACAGAGGTGGATCGCAGACTCGCATGAGGTAAGTTTTCGATGACTTCATGACCTACATTGAATGCTTTGTACCACTCAAATACTTGAGTTCGTGATATAGTAGACTCCCCAAAACACGTCTGCAAAATTTTCAATGATTCCGTAGCCGTGACTCCATTGCATATGTTACGCAAAATTTCAACACACTCATGCCAAACAAACATAAAATCTCACACTAAACTAGAATTAAAAATTAATCGATTCTTAATGTTTAAATGGATCAGTCCGGGTCAAATTTGAAGAAACAGAAATTTTGATTTTTTTTTTTAAATTTCTAAACTAGGCGGGACTTGAAGGGCTGTTAAAGCATTTTGGATGTCACATATTTACCATATAAATACACATTTTCCATGAAATTCAGCAAACTTGTTAAATAATTATGCAATACAATTTTTATACAATGTTGAATTTAAACAAATGTCAACAACGGCAATTTGAATCACAACAAATCGGGGGTTGTTCGTAACCGCACGAACTCGTTGAAATGTAAATTAATTAAAATTGCTGATTTATTCTGACACATACATATGTAAATATATATTTGTATTTATTTTTCTCACACGTCGTGCCTTTTTATTCTATAAATTTTACCAACTTTGTTGTGGATTTCATGAACATTAGCAACTGATTTTTTGATGAGAAACATAATTAAAATTAAACAAAAATTAAAGCGTTGAGTTTAAGTTGTTTCGTAAATTATTTCTATAAAAATCTTTCCACTGAAAAACAAATTTTATAAATATTTTTTCCTAGATTGTTACAACTTTTTTTTAATGTTCGTGTAAAGTTTGTTATCCATGTGTCTAGCTCTTAGTTTACAATGCGAACAATTTGTCTGCCCCAAAACTATAAATATGTATGTAAGTACATATATATGTACGGCAATTGGTTCCTCAGTTTTTGAGTTATCGATCTGAAACTTTGCACACGCCGTTTTCTCACAAGAAGCTTCTTTTTTGGTCGGAATTACCGATATCGGATCACTATAAGATGAAACTGAACGATCAAAATTAAGTACTTGTATGGAAGGCTTTTTATTTTGGCAAGCTATCATCACGAAACTTGGCATGTACTATTGTTTAAGGCAACGGTAACATCTCCGCATATATTGAAAGATTATATCACTATAGTTTATATAGATTTCAGATTTAATTATACATATAGTTGTAAAAAAAAGTGTAGCTGTTCAGCTTCGGTTGACCGAAGTTAAGTTTTTGCTTGCTGCAAATTTATTTCGAATGCAATATTTTTTTCTAAATATAAAAAAAAATGTCTTACTGAATACATTATACAAGTATACTACAATGAATCTGAAATTGTTTATATTTCAAGTTCTCATTATTCCATGTCTGTCAAATATAGTAATTTCCATTTATAATTTTTCCCACAAATATTTAAACATTTTTCATCAACCGCAAGTCAATGCACGATTCTCATTGTTGCTTGACTTTTGCAAGTTTTTAAGCAAAAATGCAAATATGCGTGTGTTATATGTAAAGGAAAATACAGTTCGGCATGTAAGTATCCCTGTGTTGAATGGCGAAAATTTTCCTCCATAATGAGAATGAATTGTAAATATTTTTACAAACATCAAAAGCCGCAGCGTTTAAGCCAACAACAAACAATCGAGGGCAATGCAATGCGAAATACTCGAAATTAACTGCGATCACGAGAGGAAAAATAAAACGAACGAAGATGCAAAAAAGCAAAAAGAAAATTAACACAAAGCGCCGAGAATTGCATGCAAACTGCCTGACAATTGCGAAAAAAGAGTGTGCAAGGTGGCAAAAATGACTGAAATGCGCAAAAAAACAAAAAACAAAAACAAGAAAAACAGCGAATACACAGGTAAATAATGAAGAAAATCAACAGCAAGAAAAAATGCTAGTAATGATGGAAAAAATCCGAGTTAATAAACCTACTTAAAGCTCATTTGCAATTTAAGTGCAGAAAAAAGTTTGCGAGCGCAAACTTGTGCACATATGTACAATTGTATATATGTAAGTGCATAAACATATGTACTCATGTGCATATAGAGATAAAAACAATGCCGAAGCTATAATACCCTTACCAGCTGCATTTCTTATAGCTGAAATGTGTATAAGAAGATCGTCATCATGATTTTGATCAGTCAGCTGGTATGACTGTTATATGCTATAGTTGTCCGATATGAACAATTTGTTCGGTGATTATATCGTTGTCTTGGACAATATTACATGCTAAATTTCGTTAAAATATCTTGTCAAACAAAATAATTTTCTATGCAGCTTTTTAATTTTGAACGTACGTTTTATTTGTATGACAGCTATATGCTATCCGATATTTACTTCTGAGTGTTACGAACTTCGTGACAAACCCTGTTCAGGGTATAAAATCAACGACATTAAAAACAATCTACAAGCAGCAATTGTTGAAGATGCTGTGTAGTGAATACATACATACATGTATACAAACATTGTTTTTTGTTGCATATAGTATGTGTTTCCTGCCCCATCAGCCGCTCGCCGTGTGAAAATTTGTTTGCGAGCTTATTTGTTTATTTGCAGCTGCTGTTATTGTTGTTGTTGCAGGTTTATTTTTGCACGCACGCACAACTACAGCTGTTGAAATATTTAAGGCGAAAATTCATTGCAATTCGTTGCATTAATGATGCGCTAAAATTGTGGTATAATGGACTCGATTCAACGGCATGAAGCTTCTCCATCGCGCTCTCCAGAATTTTTGCGTGAAAATAAACAAAAAATATGTAAGCAACCGTTAAAAAGCGCGTTGAATGTGGAGCTATTATTGAGTTGTAAAATTAAATATTTTTTTATATTCAACTGCATTTTAAAGTTCACTTATTGGCCTGTAAATAAATGATGATTAATGCCGTCTTTTGTTTTTTTGCATCAGAAGTCATTAACAACAACAACATGGCAATGCAAGCGGGTCAAAAGCGTTGCAATCGCAAAAAAAAGTTACTTTTGTGAGTTATATCTATAGGCGCCAATTTCAGCATAATGTTTGCTTTGGGCACTTGGCAAAT